AAACTATTAATATATACTAAGTCATATTTATCAAATTATTAGTTTATCTATAAATATACTAAAAATATTATTGATATTAATTTATCAATAATATTAAAATACTAATAATATATAAATTTTATTTATTTAGTAATAATAAATATATATCATTTGATATATTAACAAAAATTATAATATATGTTAACTTAAATAAGCAAACAATTGTATAAAACATCATATACATATATATATATATATATATATATATACACAAATTCTTAAATTACTAAATTTTTAATGAGAAAGACTAAAATCGCACAATTATAATAGTTAAGGGATTAAAATTGTTCAATTATAAATTAAAGGACTAAAATCACACAATTACAATTTTTTAAGGACTAAAATTACTCAATTAAAATCTTGAGGATCAAAATTGCACAATTACAATATTTGAGGGATCAAAAGCATAATTAAGCCATAAATTTTTTATTTTTGTTAATTGGTCATACCATTTTATAAATATTTATACATGTTATTTGAGAATTAATAATTTTACTACCTTAAATAGTTAAATAAAAGTATAATTTATATTTTTAGCGCAATAAAATAAAAATTTATTTTTAATTCAAAAATATTAGATTCTCACGTATATTCGTAAAAATAATGATATTAAGTATTTTCTCCTCCATGACTCATAAAATCTTGTTTAAAAGAAGTCTTATTAATATTCTATTTTGATATAATATATTTTATTAAAAAATTATGCTTAAAGTATTTAGGGTGTAACGTCTAGTCGTATAAATATTAAGTCCAATATTATACGTATTCATATAATAATTATGTATATTATATCATTAATATTATTATACATAAAGCAAAGGAAAATTTCATAAACTTGCTTACATATAGTAACTTATTTTTACATCACATATTAAACTAAAAATATTTACAATAATGTACATAATTATAAATTACTTATTTCTTACACTACTTTTACAATGTTTACATATTTGATTGATACAAGTTCACAATAGGATTAACATGATTCGTCGGAGGTAGAAAAAAGTAACCACTAAGAATTTCTTGAGTAGGAAAAAACATAAAAGTTGATAGTGTCAATCCTTGAAAAGTGACCGAGTTGTAGACAACATCTACAGACCAAGTAGTTCCTAGAAATACCGCGGATATGATAGAAGAGAAAGGGCCTGGAAGTGTTGGTAGGTCCATCTATTCTTTTATATAATTTAATTAAATATTTAAACAAGAAATATAAGGAGTAAGAACAATTTTCAAATATATATTAGTAATTACTAGAAAATATATTAGTGATTCTTGACATAAAAATTTGAATTATACTTGTAGTGACTAGTCAGGATAAATGAGCATTATCATAATATTAACCAATAAAAGGATTTTTTACCTTAAATTTTCACTCATTTAAATCTCCAAGGTCAAACCTCCAACTACAATTTAATTCAAACTTTTATTCTTATGGTCATAGAATAATATTTATCTTTACAAATGAATGAAGAAATAACAACAAGACGAGTTTAAGACATTTTTAATAAAACTATATTATAGTTAATATTAATATAAAAATAATTACACCAAATAAATTTGAGTATTTTTCATTATTTGTTTTAATAAAATAAAATTTACGTAAATGGAGTGTATTAAAGAATATTAATCAAGTAAAAGATATTGATAAACTTCTTAAAATAATTAAACAACATAAACTAGAAACATTTCATTAATTATTAAGAGTAAAAATTATCATAGATTAAGCAAATAAATGAAGTTAGAAACACCTCACTAAATAAATATACATAAAAGCTAACATAAATAAATAAATATAATAGCATATATAATTTTAAAAAGATAAAGTTTTCCATCCACGTAATCTACTTAATTTCTACCGCGCATTTGTACCATACATTATCTACTGCTCTCTGCAACATTATCTACTGTGAGTAATTATCTATTACATTTCACATTATCTTTTCATCATGCCACATCATCAATTGTTTACCTATCTTTTCATTACATTTGAACCTGTGACTTGGAACTTGTACTTCCTATACACAACTACACAAACTATTGAACCGTTCCATTTTATATGTGTATTGCATTATATAAATTATAACAAATTGTTTCATACGTAATTATTATAATAAAATATTATAAATATTTATAATATAATTGGATATCATACATATATATATTTAGTTTACGGAAAATATAAAATTTTATAAAAATAAAACACTTGTATTTATCTATTTATTTTAAATATGATAACTAAAATTTAAAAATCTTATTTTAAAAAAATAAGATAATAATAATAAAATTGTGAATCAATATTATATGATTCTATTTTATTAATCAGATCATAATAATTATAAAATTAGGAATAAATATTATATAATTCTATTTTATTTTACTGAAAATTTTGTAATAAAAATTTAATGTATTGTAATTATATAAAATATTGTACTTATTCTCTATTATATATATATATATATATATTTTATATAATAACTAAAAATTTAGACTACTATTTTGAAAAAAGTATAATAATAATAATAAAAAAAATTGAGAATATTGTATCTGAAATTTAAGACATTACATAGGGCAAGATATTTCACAAAGAGAGTTTTTGTCATTTCTTGAAGGATTTTATTTTTTCTTTCAATGACTCTATTATGTTGGGGTTATTTTTTGTGAAGAGAAGTCGTGCAAAACCCAACTCTTCTCACAAACAATTTTGAACTGGGAGTTTTTAAATATTATTTCATGATCACTTTTGATGATAGGGATACAAAAATCTTTCTCATATTGAACTCTTTTACAAAATATTTCAAAGAAATGAAAAGACTCATACTTGTAAATGGTGAAGTATACCCATATGTGTATAAAATAATCATCAACAATGATGAATTTATACTTTTTACCAACTAGACTTAATGTTCTAGTAGGCCCAAATAGATTGTATGTAACAAGTCTAAATATTTTTGAAGTAAAAACAATTTTCTTTGATTTAAAGGATGAAAATTTTGTTTATTTTCCTTTCTAACAAGTTTCACATAGAAAATGAGTCTGTGAAAAACTGTTAGGTAGTCCTTCAACTAAACCGTTTTTATATAATTTTGAAATATATTTTAAATTACATCGTCAAGTTTTTTTATCAAATCTATCTTTCATCTTCTCTGAATACCAAACAAGTTACATTTTGTCTACTTAAATCGTCAAAATTAACTTCATAAAGGTTATTCTTTCTAACAATAGTAAAGAGTATAGTCTAACCAATTCATTTGATTATACATTCATCTTAGTTTAAAGACATAGTATATCCAATATCACAAGATTGACTAATGTTGAACAATTTTTTATGTCTTTCGATATATAAAACATTTTCAACAGTAAATAAATGGTTCTTGCCAAATGAGACCAATCTTCCATATGACTGAAGGTATAGGAACATAAACATTTCTCTTATTATATGACATGAGCATCCATTGTCATAGCTTAACAAGAGACTAAAATATCTTTATTAATCTAAAATGCAATAAACATAGATTTTGTATTCAAGCAATGCTTCTTTCCTTCAACCAAGTCATAGATGGCTGAACCTTTGAGTTTTAAATTGGACTACAATGGGTTGGTCTATATCTACATCCATTCCCACAAAATCTGAAATACACCAAGGAATACATCATTAAGCCGATGTATATTTCCTTGTATAAAAACAGTGAAATTTACTCTTTAAGGAATATATGTCCATATATAACACTTACATACGCATATCATGCTCAAAACTAAAATGTCACTCTCTTCAGCTTATAAGTATACACGGAATATGAAACATGTCCAAGTTCAGAATATTCACCTGAAATTGTTCGTCCAAGAGTGACAGAAAATGACCAAATCACTTTCTAATTTCTTTTGTGTATTCCTTCGAACACTCGATAGGCACAATAAAAATCAAAACTTAGGTATTCCGAAATAAATGATTCTCACATACTCTAAAAATTGGTCATGCAGAAACTACCAATGACTCAATAATTCGCACTATTTCTCGAAACAGAAACAACTCAATAACAAAATGCTACGAAACAAGAGATAGTAAAATTCCTTACCCGAAAACTCAGTAATGTAGATTTTCTCCATGCGTTACAGATATGGGAAAATATGAGGATGCAAAAGACGATAGGATTTGAGGCAATTTGGTTCTCTTCTTCGGAGAAACTCCTTCCGAAGCCCGTTATGCTTCGCTGAGGATGGAGATGTGAAAAGAAGCGTTTCAGTCCCTTCTCATGCTGTGGAAGGCGCTAGAATAACAAGTATACGTAAAACATGGGCCACACTCTATTGGGCCTTGCCTTTGGTTAAATTACTTGAAAAAAATCCCTTGAACTTTACATTTCCAACTCTTTTTTTTTTTTTTTAATTTATTTTTACATTTTCTTTGTGTTTTTGGTATTTTAAAATTATTTTAATATATTTAATTTTATACCTATTCTAAAATACTAGTAGGTAAATAAACTAGTAGAAAAGTATGCTGCTCAAATTTGTAAGATACTTCAAATTGTATAAATTATGTATAAAAAAATTTATTATGTCAATATAATTTCAAGTAAATTGTTCATCTCGTGAGTAAAGTCGAAATTCTTATTTGATTCAATAAAAATATGTTCATTTCCATATACTTTCTTATCAATATACAAAACAAAATTTAAATTTAAAAAACTTAACAATAAGATAATAAAAATAAAAATTCTAAAGAAATCCTAAATATATTTGCATAAAATAAAAATTCATATTTAATGTATAAATATTCGTCATTAATATATAAAGACATTAATTATACTTATTTTCTAAAAATCTCTTAACAACAAATCAATACATATTATCTTACATGTAAGGACCTCCTTTTAACGAGAATGTTTTTAAGAGTTTTTTTTTAATTTTTAATTTCTAATCTATTTTAATTTGTATTTCATATTTATTTTTAAAATAAATTACTAAAAATTAAAAATAACATTGTATCACAATATAAATGTATTATAAATCAAAGTATAATTTATTATTATAAAAATATCTATTTATACAAATTATAAATATAATATAATTTATGTTAAATATAATATTATATGTGCATACAACTTGCTATAAATTTCTGTTCAATGCATTTACTATAATACTTCTATTAATAAATAACCTCAAATCTAAAACTCGTAATAAAATTAAAATGTTAAATTAACCTATGAAGCCTAATAAAAATTAAATAGTTGAATTTACATTAGGTGCTTTACAAATTAAATTTACACAGGTGGACTTGCTAAAAAAGCCAAGTCCTTTTACTTTTTTGAATGAATAAAAGATGTTACATATTGACTATTTTTTCCCTACTGTGATTTAATGGATAAGAAACTGTCATCTCTTCAAGGCCAATTTCTTATCAACATGAGAGTAAACAATCTCCTGGCATCGTACAAGTCCACTAGCTCCTCCAAAGCACAGCCATTTTTCACTACCTTTGTTCATGTTCCATCTCACTCTGTGCAATGCTGCCATTTTGGGAGGGAAGACTTCAGGTATATTCCCAAAATCTGACTTTTCATCATCAGTCCCGGGAGTCATTGTTGACACATCATCATCATCTTTGCATACCAGATCTGGTTTTTCTACAGTTTTTTTCTTGCTGCCACTATTCAGTTTTGGCCTTTTGGGCTGCTTCACAGAAGATAAAGCTTCCCCAGAAACAACTTCCAAACCCACATTCTCACCAGCACCAATTGCTGCAGAAATTGAAGAGTTAATAAGATTATAAGAATTCTCAGAGAAACTATGTCAACTAATCATATTGGTACCATGTCATAGTTAGCAAGGCTGACCTAAAATCTGAGAGTCAGAATTTGGAGTTTCTGCCATTTGATTATTTGCACTTTTGCTTGCATTTGTCTTGGATAATAGGTCTCGGAAAGATTCTGCATATCGACCTTTGTCTTGTGGCTTTTTCCATAGGAAAGGAGTGTTTGACACAGGAGTGTTGATAACGATAGTTGAATCTTCCTCAGTTACCAACCCACAAAGGAAGCGTGGGGATCGACTGCGCACATGATCTGTCTCCACTTCTTTAGTAGTAAGCTGAGAATATCAAACAAAGCTCAGAAAAGAAAAGTTATTGAATTCATATGTACAAGGCATCAGTCAAGGATAGCAGTTTCAATTTTGAAAAATATTATTTACAAATTTGAGAAATACTCTCAATCTGTACTTTTCCATAATACATTATAAACTGGAGTCCTCTCTCAAATCCTCGTTCTTAACTAAGGCAAAACATCCAGATCTTAGTTTTCATATAAGGTCAGGGTTGTCCATTAGTCATCGATAACTGTCGCGAGACAAGCAGGTTATTTCTTTAAAAGGTACCATGATATTGCCTCACATGATCACTTATTTTAAATTCAAGTCATTTTAAAATTTAGGGTAAATAAGACTATCCTTTCACACTCTCAAATGATCCCCTCTACCGTTCAGTGTGTCATTCCCTTACACCTTTATTTTTATATCACTAAACCCCCTTGTGCTTTTTCTTTAGTCACAGTTTGACACGAGGAGAAACAAAACAAAACACTATAGAAGTGTACTCTGAGAAAGTGTGAAACTGCATGAGTAAAAGTATACCCTAAAATTTATATAGCCTATTCAGTATTCAGCAGTAGACCCTTTTCACCTACATCACACATTTAGGTTTTCTGGATTAGAAACTGTATAATAGGTCCTGTACTCCTATTCTCAAACTAAAGATATAAGACAGCCTTTAGTCCAATATATATGCCAATAAAATTGGGTTATTAATTTCATAAATAAGGGCACTCAGGCAGAAAACCTTTTGCAAAACAAGTGCTTAGCCATTTAGGGACGATTAACTACTAAATTTACATGAACTATGTGCCTAATGTGTTAACAATCAACTTTCTTAAATGCTGAAGTTACTAGGAGGCACATGCAAAAGCTATTTTGGCTTGTACTAACAAATTAACGATGTGTAAGAAATACTTCCTTGTTTTGAAATTCATCATAAAGAGTGGGAATTGTAAATTATTGACAATTGGGTCATAAGAGAAGCAGGGTAGGTAATTGCGAATGATGTCTCCCACAAAATATTGGAATTACCTGAAAACGAAAGACAGCACCATCTGTACCACAATACGCAACCATGCCTGACATGATAAAAGTAATCCCATCATTTAGTAAATAGTATTAGTGATAATGAATTGTTCAAGTGTTTCATTATGACACTAAGAAAACCAATAGTAACAAATTTGTCATCACGAGAGTTTGTTTGCCTTGAAAAACTAACAATTACTTTATTTGGTAAGATTAATAGTACACGAGATTTTCAATGCCTAAGGTAAAATGTTTTTAGCATTAAGGTTATATAATCATAATGTCATTAAAATAATGCATACAAAAAACGCACCTGTTATACGTGACACTTGAACACTCCAAATGGCAAAAGATGAATATGAAGAACCATGCAACCCAAATTGCTTTTTTCCACTGTATATTTCTCCAGTGACGGGGAGGTCATTTGCAGCCTTCACCAAGCTAATGGTTCTCATTGTTCCATCCTCAAAGGACATAATGATGCAACTAGAAAAGTATAAACAAAATAATTATGGGTTAATCACTGACAAATTTAGACAGTATTTGATCCAGTTAAAATAATGCATTACCTTGGCTTTGACAGCCAATCCAGACTATATATCATTCTTGGCGCAGGATGGAGGCTCCTCAAAGGACGAAATGGATTACTACAAATAAATTTCCATGCATAAAGCAAACCATTGTAAACAAGTTTAACAGACTCCAAGAAGTGGTTTAGGAGAAGCTACAAGTGTCTACCCAAAACTTCTAATTTATTTGTTTTCTTTTAAGTAGTTTTCACATTTCATTTTAGTACTTGTGGAAGTGGATTGGAAGACTCTCAAGTGTTTGTCCAAACTTCACCTAGGGACACGTTTAGTTTGCATACTCATTTTCTTTCTTTGTTGCTTTAACTTTTGCAAATTCACTAGTTGTGTTTAAGAGGTTCCAAAGACTTCTTTAAATACTTGGGTTTTCTTTTTTGTTAAACTATTAAAACCTTTTCCTAAACTTGCATTTTCATCATGAGTAAAGACTCATATAAAAGCACTAAGAGTAGTAGTGATTCTACTTTACCACCAAATTGTCATATAGGAAAATTAATGGTAAAACTAGAAACATTAAAACTTTGGAGATAAAAGGAAAAGAAAAAAAAGATAGAGAAAAAAGACATAGAGACATTCTTGGAGCTTAAGCTTTTAAAGATAGAAGATGAAGAGAGAATAAATCTCATACTCATTTAATAAGTATTATGTAACATAGTAAATATGTTTATTGAATATTGGTCTCTACACTCATAAGACATAAAATGTTCTTATGACACCCTCTACTCTCTTAGTTATTATAGTTAGTAAAATTATTCATAATTTAATTTTAATTAAACAACATAATAAATAATCAAATAAATAAATATTTTTCAATTAGTAGAGAATTAACATTAAAACTAGTCAAATAAAGTAAATACTTTTAGATTGTTATTTAAAATAAATAAGCAAATCAATATTAAAAACCTTAACAATAAAATATAACTTGGAACTCCAAAAAGGTCATAAAACTCAATGAAATTAAAACAATTGAGTTATAAATTTATATAAAAACAAGTAAATTCCAACCTCGATGTCACAATCTTATAAGAGCATAACTCAAATTATAAGTTAGGAGGTCTAGGCCTTTTCACCAGCTCCAACTTCTAAATAACCTTCTACAACTAGTGTTCAGCCCAAACAAAACTAGAAATAAACAAGAAAAAAAATGGGACTTAGCCATGATATGATATGATATTGTAATGTAGTAATGCATGAAGTTTTGTTTGATATGAATCATATGCATGACTATTTTTTTTAGGGTATGATAATTGTTAGGGAAGATCCTTTTCTGTAAAAGCTTAGGGATCAATCCTCGGGGGCAACCGGGTTTAGAAAACCGTACTCTTGTCCATTGTCTGCATGAGTTGGAACTTGTGCAACTTTATTATCCTGACTAGACCCTAATAGTATATTCTCCTAGTGAGAGTGCATTGAGACAATACATCATGTGATGTTTTTTACTAGCACCACATGCATGATTAAATATAGTCGTGTTCATTGCATAATGTATATAAAGGATTTATTGTATTAGCTAGCATCTGTGCTTAGCTAGTTGATATAGTTGACAATTGAATGTTTTTATAACTGATATGTTTATAAACATTGAATCATGAATTATTGTGGCATGCATCATGTGTATAAACTTGGATTTTAATTGATGGAGTATAGTGTGGAATACATTGTCAAAGAGGCCCTTTAGTTGTTAGATGACCTAGACCTTAGAAACAACACAACTTGGGAGCCTCAATTCTTCCCTATAAGATGCATGGAGTGTAACCTATTATAGCTTCATTATCCTAACATGCCCTTATGTATTTTTCCCATAGTGAGAGTATTTGGTTGCATACATTTTTGGTCTTGTGTTTGTTCATTGACATGTATTTATTGGTTGACCTGCGAGCCTTTAAGCAACCATCATGTTTTTGAAAGAAATTAGAGAAAAAAAAAACTTGAATGAAAAGGAATTGAAAAAGAAAAAAAATAAGGAAAAAGAAAAGAATAGAAAGAAAAACTTAAAGTGAAGGAACACAATTTTGTTTTTATTCTAATCCTCTACGTGATTTTGAAAACTTTTTTGTAAGAGAATTTCAAGAAGTGCTTCCATAAAGGGAAAATAAAACTTTATATTCTAATCCCTTGTTTGGAAGTAAAGATTTTATAGTAGAAGAAATTGAAAATGAGCCTTTAAAAGAGGATACTTTAATTATTTCCTCTATGGTGAATGATAAATACATTCTTTATTTTGAAATTGTTTATAATTCTAACCATGTGAATTCTTTTGTTTTAATACCTAAGGAATAGTTGTACATAAAGGATCCATAAAAAGATGACCCCTAGAGAATCTAAGTCACTTAGCCAGCCTGTGCTCACTCGATAAGGAGCCATAAAGGGCTTTAGTCACTCAGAAAACATGTGCTTACTTTACAAAAATCCTATTTGTTTTTCTCTATAGGTGTTTTTGGTGTTGTGAAGTGTACCTCTATGTCCTAAGTGGTTGAGGAAGTGATGTTGTTATCCCTAAGGGGATTACGTTGTGCTTGCTCTGGGCAGGGAATGAGTGATGAGTTCCTGATAGTTGCAAGGTCTAAGAATAAGGGGCTTTTGCCTTGAGTCTAGTGATGTATGCATCATAGGTGATGTCTATGATGTTGTTGATGATGTTGTATGTGTTGGAATTCAAGTGTGAAGCAAATTCCCACATTGGTTAGAGTTGGGCATGTTGAGTAATATATAAGTGAGAAAGATCCACCTACCTATTGCCTTAAGGTTTTAGGATATGTTGTGGTGTCAAGCTCACTTGTGTGACTTACTCACTACCCATTATGTGGAGTGCTCCTCGATGTTAAAAACTCCCTAACATTGGTATCAGAGTCGATGGTTCGACCAAGTGACTAGTGATCGGCTCAGACGAGTATTAACTGGATCCAATAGTGGGATCCTAAATGGAATTGGCAGGAGATCCAAGAGTAGGATCATCCCTTGTACTGAAAGTCTCCCTAGAGGTGTGGAGGACGTGTGTGTCGTTGAAGTGCAACGATAGTGCAAGTAAAGCTACCATTGAATACTCGTGGACGAAAGAAAAAGCTTCCGCTTAAGGGAAAGCTGTCCATGTGGAAGGGATTCACACTTGAGGGGGAGTGTTGTAATTCAAGTGTGAAGCAAAGTCTACATTGGTTAGAGTTGGACATGTTGAGTAATATATAAGTGAGAAAGACCCACCTACCTATTGCCTTAAGATTTTAGGATATGTTGTGGTGTCAAGCTCACTTGTATGATTTACTCACTACCCATTATGTGGAGTGCTCCTCGATGTTAAAAACTCCCCAACAGTATGTGTGTGTGCCTATATATATATATATATGTATATATATGTAGATATGATTTACGTTGTTGTGTGCTCAGATGTTGGAAAAATCTATCACGACTATAAATCAATTATGTACGCTCATGTATGATGTTGAATATGCAAGGAAGGCCTGAGTCCCTAATTCATGAAGTTGAGTGTGGTTTTGTGAAGGTAAGACCCCTTTCACCCAAATTGTATAGTCACGCTTCCCTTCCCTTAATTATTAAAACTTATAACTAATATATAAAATACATATGTTTTCCCAACAAAATTATAATTGAAATAAATACATAAAATAATTATAATAAAACAGATAATTTTATCCAAATACTTATTATAAAAAAGATATTGATAAAATACACATTTCTCCAATAAATATTATACAAAAAAAGTTTCAAAAAAATTATTATTTAATTAAAAATACTCGTAATTATTAAAAGTCTCTACAATATTTTCTAAAACTCATTTAATTAATTTAAACAATATTTTTAATAATTTTAGAAAATTTGAAATGTTACAATAACAAGATAAATGCTAAATAAATTTGAGCCTCATCAAAATATATGTTGATATTAGACTTTCAAATACTAATTAAGATCATAAGTCTTTTAGGTGTGAAAAATTAGTATTTGAATGAACTCCTTTGACTATGTTATGTGAGGCTTATTTAATGGATATGGTCATGGTGTCTTTCTTAAAGAGGCTAGATTAGGAAATGTTAATAAGGTTGTTCCCTTGCTGGTGATGTTATGTTTAATAAATGATTGTCTTACTGGTTTGATTCTCTTAATTATTAGGCCAACCCAAAAGTCAATTTCCTTATTCTATACAAATTATTAGTAAATAATATAAATTTTATTAAGTAATTATGAAAAATAAAAGTGATTTGAAGGATATTTTAGATACAATTCACTAAATTTCTTATTTGATTTATAGACGAGTTAGAATATTTTAATTTTAACATTTAAGTTTCACCTATTATCAATATGAAATTATTTTACATGCGTTATTATTAATTAGAATTTGATTGGATTTTTTTCCTTGTCTTTAATTCAACCTTTAGTTTATTACTAAAACGCAATAAAATAACATTGGTAATTAATGTCATAAAGCAGAAGTGTCGGCAAGAAAAAGGGGAAATAAATTTGACTTTCACCAAAATATTAAATACAAGCTTTAAATCACCCCTTCAATTTTCCTTGTATAAAATGGCCTAAGGGCCAACCCTTTAACATAGATCAATTTGCTAGTGTTGGAGCTTGTTACGCCATTCTCCTATTTTGAGCCATTCACCCCACCATTTCTAAGGTACACAATTACTCATCTTTCTCTTTCTTTTTTTCTTAATTGAAATTTTTGTGTTCTCCTTGTATCTAATTTTTTGAGTCAAATTAGGTAACATACTTTTGAAAAAAAGGGGTAAACATGAGTGACAGAAATGAAACCAATCCGAAACTTGAATTGAGGTTGAACCTATCCCCACCAAGGGTTGTTGATCGTAGACTTGAGTCCCCAAATCTATCAGCAATAATATCACCACCATCACCACCGAGCTCATGTGCATCCACTGATGTCAAACAAGAGAAGGAGGATGATACCACTCTAGTTACAAAACATGCTCTTAATAGGGATGTAAGCAAGTCAAGTACAGTGGTGTTTTCCAAACCTTAATAAAATAACATCACACCAACCATTACTCCAATAACATAATGCAACCATCCAAATGCTTTGATCAAAACAAAATCATGCATACCTAATCAAAAACTGAATTAAGGTCCCATTATTGACATTATTTTAAATTTTTTTTTTTTTGGTGTTGTACATTATTTTAAATTTGATATTATGTAAAACATTATAATATGAAAATATGAGTTATTTTCTCTAAAATAATTTTAAAAAATATGACAAGTTCATGTTAAAGCTTTTGTTAAGTTTAAAAAAAAATAATGATTCAAATTTGCTTCAGTAGTAAACTGATGACCATGAAAGCATTAAGAATGGGTGCACTTATGACCATAAATAATATTAATTTTACAAAAACTATAAAATCAGAAACATAAATATAATTAAAATGAAAGTTTGAAAAATTTTCATGAAATTTTTCATACACACAAGTCCTTTTTTTTTATTTATTTATACACTGGCTCTATACAGAAACACACACACATTTTTAATAGTGTTAACATCAAATTTGTTTTATATAATCTAATTATCAAACAAACAGCAATGAGGTTAAATTAAAGTTATTCATGAAATTCTCGCTGGTAATTGAATTTGGTCACAATTTATTTAACTAAGTAGATGGGTTTGGCATTCAATCTAGAGAGTATGAAGGAGGAAACATACCTTTGTAAGCCACCACGCTTTAACATTGAGCATTTAAATACAGGTTCAAGTTTTATAAAACGTGGATCAGTGCCCTCTCTATGCATATAAATTTCTCTCATAACATGAGGAAGAGGAACCTCCCAACTGCAATTGACAAGTACAAACAAAAACATAAGCCAACCATGTTGCAATGTTCCTCAAAATCACTGAAACTTGATAAAAGGAACTCGCTTCTGATGTGAATAAGCAATCAGGTTATCATTATGAAGGAACAAGATTTATCAATTTATTAGCAGTATCTCTACTATAAATAATTTCATAGAAGCATTAAATGACAATTCCATGGAACATAAAAATTTCATAGAATGGCATCTCTACTTCACACTTGCATAGCCACTATTGAAATTTATGATAAAATTAGAAGAAAAAAAATCTGCATGGTTACAAACAACACAAGAAATTATGAAGTTAAATGATGAGAAACATAAATTTTCAGAATCCTATAAATAGAGAATATAAATGTCTCCTCATTTTCCATCCTACAGGAAAAATTAGACTACAACATTATTTTCAAACTGATTTTAGTGTTACAGAAAAATATGACTAACAACCAGAAAATTTTTCACCCTTTTCCCTATATAGATTTATTGTTAAAAGTTTGCACTTGCATAAATAAAAAGATGAAAATACACTGACCAAGACCTCATCATAATAGCAACAATATTTTCGACACATTGTACTTTACTTAAATTGGCCATTTGTAATCGGTATAGCTCGGCCTGGTCCCTATACTATGGTCGCTTCATACACGTGTGCCTCGACCTTGCCCACACACGGGACTGACTAAATCCTAGAGGAGAACAACACATCATCCACTCCAAGGGACAACTTTCCAATGAGGGTTTTTCAACAAATTGGGCTCTCATAGCACCATTACTATCTCAATCCGCACAATGAAATGAGTAACTTCAAAAACTTCTCCTCTAGTCCTAGTGATCAACAATTTATCATCACAACACAATCACATAGTTTTTAACACAATAATTCAACTATCAACTCATTCATATAACATTATATGCAACTTGAATGCAACAACACATGCAACATCAACTAATGCGTCGTCACGCATATACAACTAGAAGATCTCCAACAATTGTGGTTAAGCAGTCTAGGTGGCATAAACCCTACCGAATCCAACAGTTGACCTATCTTAACCAGGTCAGGTATAGGGCATCGTTAGGAACTCCGAAGAGAACCAAGTATAAACAATAATAGGCGATTGCTCAGGTGTGCCACTCAGACTCGGAGGTCCAGTACTACTGTTAGGACAAAAGGGTTTGGGTATGGGCCTACCACAGCCTTGGCTTGCATCATCAATTCATATATGGAGTTAGCCCACCCACTGTCCTCCAAGTACCACGCACCCTCTAGTACCTAGTCAAAGACTACATCTCTACCTAGATACCTTACTCAAATTAGTCATTCAACCATGACATGGATCGACTACTTCCATGTCGTCCATCATGAATTATTAATGGGTGATTAATAGAAGTCAATAAGGTTGCTAGTTTGTCGGGGAGGTTATGTTTAATAAATGGATGTCTCACCAAGTCAATTACCTTAAATATTAGACCAATCAAAATGTTAATTTCCTCAATCAATGTGAATTGTTAACAAATAATGTAAATTCAATTAAATATTATATTAAAAAAAGAGTGAATTACATAGTATTCTAATTGTGTATCACCAAATATCTTATTTGATTAATTAACAAATAAGTACGATCGTGTTTACTTAACATTTCATTTTGGCTTTAGTGTTTGGGCTTAATGTTAGGTTATTATCCTTAGGTTCATAGGAATTAGGAGTTAAGGATTTGAGATTAAGGTTTAACTACTTTTAAATATGAATTATTTTATTATTTCAGGGTTAAGGATATTGGTTAAGGTTCATATGATTAAAATTGTAGGTTAATGATTTCGGTTCAAGTAGCTAGATGATATGGGTTAATGATTTTATTAGGTGAGAAACAATTAAATGGAAAAGGAGAGATGATTAATGTTAAGGATAATTTTAAAAAGATAGTTCAAATTATTGACAGTTTATTCTTGCACAGATGAAACTTTAAGGACAGCAAGGCAAAGCAAAAAAGAAAATAAATTAATGGACATGGGCCAAATCATATGCTAGAGTATACAAAATGTTATATGGAGGTAGATTTCATTTGTTAGGCTCTTGATCCCCATGAAAGCCCCGACCAGTTAGCACGTCAACCAAAATTTAATGTCATTAATTAAATTAACCAATTTTTTTAAACAATGTAATTTAGTTGAAAAAGTTTTATATAAAAGGATGGAGGCAGGAGTATTTTATATCATCACAAAACTACCAAAATGAAGAAATTTGTGCATTAATAATAATAAATTGTTATAAAAATTAATAATTTTACAATATTATGTATTATTAAAAAATGTTTTAAAAAATAAATAATTTACCGAGTGTAGTTTTTTTTTTATCTTAAATGAAAATACAGAGCTTATGATGGAAATGAAAAAAAAAAGATTACCCCTTTAGAGGGGCCTGGTTGGTCTAATCACCAAGACTGTTCCTCCGCTTGCTTGGATATCGATGCTTCAGAAGATCTCATATAGAGTAGGACTACTTGGCTTTTCCTTTCTGAGATTTGTTGTCGGTTCGTACCACCAACCTCATTGTCCTAAATTGTTTGCATAGTCTGGCAATTCCATTATTCCTTGGGCATCCTTACTAAGCCCTTGTCCTGGTCGGTAGCCACTTTTGAACAAAATTTGAGCTGCTAAGTTCCTCTTGCTTAAGATATTCTCAACATAGGTGATTTCCAATGCTTAGAAAGCAGTTTCTAAGGCTTCTTCTACCGCATCAACATATGGGATAATTAATGGTTTGATGACGATCATGTTTTCCTTTGCTTGCATGATCATCAAATTATCATCAATTGTGAACTTGACCTTCTAATACAATGTGGAGGGTACCATATTTGCCTAATGTATCCATAGCCTTCTAAGGAGTCAGATGTAACTAGGAGCGATGTCCATCACTTGGATTTCCATATTGAAAGTGGTGGACCCTACTTGAATAGGTTAAGTGATCTCTCCAATCACTTATCTTCGGGATCAAAGGCTCAAACGATCTTGTTGCTTGGTCGCATTTGGGTCTCTTTGACCGTCAATTTGTCGAGAGTGATCTTAGTTAGCACGTTTAAAAAGGACCCATTGTCTACCAAAACCTCGGCGATGAGAAATTCCTTACATTTTACAGATATATGGAAGGGCTTGCTGTGGTCGATTCATCCACTTGGTATCTTGTTGTATGTGAATGTTAAGTGATCATTAGCCGTGATGTGGCTTACGGTCCCTTCAAACTTATCTTGGGAGATATTGTGAGTGATTTAGGCTTTGTTCAAGACCTTTAATAAAGCCTTTTAGTGTGGCTCTGAGCTCATAATCAACAAAAGCAACGTGATCTTTACTAGAGTATGGTTCAGTTGATCGATGATGGAATACTCGCTCTATTGAATAAACTTGAGGAGTTCATCTTCTCCGTTGAACTCGTTTCCCTCCTCCTCCTTATCCTTTTCCTTGGGGACCTTGTTTTGTTATTCTTTAGGAGTGTAGACTCATCCACTCCTAGTCATTCCTCCGATCCCGGTAATGTTTGATGAATCCATGATTGATGAGCCTTGTACTTCATAGATCCACAGCACGAACTTGTCACTTTCATATGGAAAAGGACTCGGTGCTCGAATTGTTAATTTGGGCATGTTTTGCCCCTCATCCTTTGGCATGCCCACTGGTATTAGGTGGAGCATTCCCTAATTTGATGTGTTGAGTTTGCATTTGATTACTAGAGACTTCATTATCTGATTTTAATATGCATAAATTAGATTTCCCTTTTTACATCTTTATTATTTATGAGGAATGTGTATTTTCTAAAGTTTGATTCTCTTAATTATTAGGCCAACCCAAAAGTCAATTTCCTTATTCTATACAAATTATTAGTAAATAATATAAATTTTATTAAGTAATTATGAAAAGTAAGTATGATTTGAAGGATATTTTAGATACAATTCACTAAATTTCTTATTTGATTTATAGACGAGTAAGAATATTTTAATTTTAACATTTAAGTTTCACCTATTATCAATATAAATTATTTTACACGCGTTATTATTAATTAGAATTTGATTGATTTTTTTTTTCCTTATCTTTAATTCAACCTTTAGTTTATTACTAAAACGCAATAAAATAACATCGGTAATTAATGTCATCAAGCAGAAGTGTCGGCAAGAAAAAGGGGAAATAAATTTGACTTTCACCAAAATATTAAATACAAGCTTTAAATCACCCCTTCAATTTTCCTTGTATAAAATGGCCTAAGGGCCAACCCTTTAACATAGATCAATTTGCTAGTGTTAGAGCTTGTTGCGCCATTCTCCTTTTTTGAGCCATTCACCCCACCATTTCTAAGGTACACAATTACTCATCTTTCTCTTTCTTTTTTTCTTAATTGAATTTTTTGTGTTCTCCTTGTATCTAATTTTTTGAGTCAAATTAGGTAACATACTTTTGAAAAAAAAGGGTAAACATGAGTGACAGAAATGAAACCAATCCGAAACTTGAATTGAGGTTGAACCTATCCCCACCAAGGGTTGTTGATCGTAGACTTGAGTCCCCAAATCTATCAGCAATAATATCACCGCCATCACCACCAAGCTCATGTGCATCCACTGATGTCAAACAAGAGAGGGAGGATGACAACAACAACCTTGGATACTCTAATAGCCCTGAAGTTGTTCCCCTTGTGCTAGTAGGGTGCCATCATTGCCTTATGTATATAATGGTTGCTAAGGATAACCTCATGTGCCCTAAATGTAAAAGCACTGCTTTAATTGAATTTCTCCATGACAACAACAACAACCCTATCATAAGGAAGAAAGAGGACTAGGCTACCATGTTGTCAATTCTGTTGCAAGTAGGACATGTATAGGATCTTTATTTTATGTTATTTTTTTTTTTGTAATCCTTTCTATGTGCGGTGCTTTTTGCACTTCACTTTTTAGGAAAAGTTAATAAAGTTGCCTACTTGCTAGAAAGGTTATGCTTTAAAAATGGTTGTTTCCTTAGGATCTTTATTTTATGTTATCTTTTTTCTTTTGTAATCCTTTCTATGTGCGGTGCTTTTTGCACTTCACTTTTTAGGAAAAGTTAATAAAGTTGCCTACTTGCTAGAGAGGTTATGCTTTATAAATGGTTGTTTCCTTTAGTTAACCATCTTAAATATTATGTCGACAGAATTTGGTTCCTTCACAGCACCTGTCTCTGTCGCTTGGCTTGTATTCTTGTTTTTTTTCTTCCCCTTGAAATCGAATATTTCATCGATGCAAGCGTTTTCGTCTGCGTCTCCCATTCCTCTTTGGAGTAGATGAATGTAAAGGTTTCGGAGATGTCAGGTCCCGAGGTTCGAACCCTAAACCTGCTACAACACAGTAAGCAATTGTTTTTGCTATTATATATAAACCCAAATCCTTTAATCAATAATAATTCAATTTATTTTTTAATTATTTTTTATCTATAACATCCATAATCTATCTATAATTTATAATGATATATAAAGGATATTTTTCTCTCAATTATGTTTAATTTTCAATTATTTTATCTTTCACAATTTCTTTAAAAAAAATAAGTTAACTTATTTATATTTAAATTTTTATTTTATGTTTTGGTCTTTTAACTTCTTTAAATAATTGCAAATTACAGTTTTTTATAAATAAAAATCTCTCACTATTCACACAATTGTCTTTTTTCTCTCCTTTCATCTCCTGCTGTACCTAATTACTTTTAAAGTTTTTATTTTTTAATAAAAAATAAATAAAATATAAAACATTTTAACTCCATTAATATATAATAATAATATAATCAATTTATGTTGTGATTGGATAGAATAATTTTAAATTTTAAATTTCTTCAATCTCAAAATCTTGTGTTTTGAATAAAATAATTAAATTTCTTTATTTTTAAATTTTTTATTTTGATTAATTAGCTAAATTGTTCTAGTGAATTTTAGAAGTCTCAAGAATCTTAAATTTTTAAAATTTCAATTGAAATTTCTACACTTATAAAAAAAATTTATAAATAAATTAATTTTTTCCATTTCTATTTGGATAAGGCAATTAAATTTTTTCATTTATAAAATTTCTTATTTTGATAAAATAATCAATTTTTTACTTTTAAAATTTTATATTTGAAAAAAGAATTTAAATATCTTTTATTAAAAATAAGTTTTTTAATTTTTCATTTAAATGCTACATTATTTAAATAGAATAAATTTTTATTTATTTAATATTAAAAAAATCATAACATTATTGCTAATTAATCTTTACTAATATGAATAGACCTTTTAATACTTGTTATTATGTATTATAAGTTTTTTTATTGGTTTAATTTGACTTTCTTAAAAATTTAGTTTAGCTTATTAACTTATTTTATATTAACGATGTTAATTAAGTTAATAAATATATTTTTTAAAAATTTAACAAATATATTTTTAAATATATCGAGATGAGTTATTTTTTTAATTTGTGTGGTAAATATAATTTATTCAATATTATTAAAATTTATATTTCAAAACAAATATATAGAATATAACAAAGAAAGAAACAAATAAATAAATATTTTTTGTTAAATAGATAATTCATGCACACTCATGTATGTTGACGTATGCATTCATAATATGTCTAGTTGATTGCTATTTTTAATATCCCATTTTAAGTTCTTATTTTGTAGTTAAAATATTTTACCATATTATAAGATAGTTGTTATTCATGCATGTAACAAAAAAAAACATAAAAAAAAAAACACTTTATCAAAGTTTAAAAGATTAGCTTTATCAATAATGGAGAATATTAGCTCTATTAGAGTTTCGAAGAAAGATGAGTCCTCTAATGATAATCCTATGTTACGTAATAGAAAAAAGGTCAAAACAAAGGATTATGGGTCTGATTCTATTGTTGAGGATGCTTGTATGGACGAGTTGATGGATGGTGTAGCGGCTCTCAAAGATTCTGCTAAGACCTATTGGATAAACTTTTGTCGCCTGGAGGAGCAAAAGTTTTTATTGATTTCAACTGTTTAATGAAGGAGATGGCTTATTTAGAGGGTGATATCTATACTAACAAGGACGAGTCAGTGGATGATGAGGAGAAGTTAGATTCTTGCCCGACAATTCTTGTTATGCAGGAAGAGTTTGAAGAATGGTGTTCTCCTTGGAAAAACTCATTGGTGATCAATGTGCTAGGTAAACGTGTGGCTGTCGCAACCTAAAATTTTTTGATCTTGCGACCTATGGTTTAGACATCCTTTTGAAAATATCATCAATTAAGGAATGTCTGGACACCAGACTAATCCTTAATTAATGGTTTTGAAAATAAGTTCATGGAGTCGCCACCAATATTTTACTCCAAACATTGGAAAAAGAAAAGGTTTTTAAAAGTCCAATAATGTCCTTGATAACCCGAATTGGGTTCGGGGGTCGATTACATGTAGGGAAGGTATTAAGCACCCCTACAACGCCCTAAATCGATGCCCTATAATGAAGATAACGTAATAAGAATTAATAATTTAAATATTAATCCCCTTTATTAACGATTATTTACATGAAAATTAAATTACACGATG